TATATATCTGTGTGTGTGTGTGTGTGTGCGTGTGTGTGTAAACATCTATACAATCAACACAAAGAAAGAATTGGCCCAGTGTTAATCCTCCATGTAATTCTACTATAATTGAAAACATTGAGATCACTCCAAAACAAACAATAACAGGATTCATAGATCCTTCACGCATTACTTTAATAATGTCACCGTACCTTTAATACACATATTTCCTTAATGTACACTAAATCAATTCTGATGGTGCTAAATCATATGCTGACTCATCAAGACCAATAAAAAACAAATGATGATTTTTTTAATTTTATATTATTCTTTATTAATTATCTCAACGCAAAATTCACTTTTATGGCGGATCTTCCTAAATGTGAAACTAAATTAATTATCTAAAACTATAATAAATTTTTGTGATTCTATTCTCCATTGCTCACTTCAATAACTTTAATGTGCAAGTCATAATTTAATCATTTCATTATTATCAAAATATTAAATATCTAATGTAATTAAATATTGATAATAAAATACTTTTTCAACTATTTGGCATCATCTTAGCCAACAAAAATTTCAATAAAAAAATTTAAAAATAAAACAATTGAAGTATTTCCTCAAAACTCTCAAAAGTTATCTTTTATAAAATTAAAGCATTAAATTTATACATCTTAAGAACAAATTATAATTTATGTTTTAATCAAATTATAGTATACCTCAATTTTGTTCACTATTTTCTTCCAAAATAATTTCTTTGAAGCTCCCATTAAATATTTTCTCAAAGTATCATTTTCATAAATCCTTGATGCCTTCATTGCTAACTAACATCCATTTATATTTGCATCTAAAATATCCAACATAAACAAAATAACTTGATCACTTATATTTTATCTTAACTATTTTAAATATCACATTTTTCTTAGTATCAAGCATATTTTATAAACTGTTAAAAATTGTGACATGACTTGTGGTAATAATAAACCTTTAAACCTTTAAATAACTCAATTAAGAAAAATTGATATTGCCTCTTAATGGCACCTACTTCACAAGTGTCATTCGAGTGACACCCTCACCATCCTTGAAAACTTTAACTAGAATTATCTCATCTCATCCCATCCCTTCACTCCACGCACTCGTGCGCGCGCGAGAGAGAGAAGAGAGAGAGAGAGAGAGAAAAGAAGTGAGAGCAAGAAAGGGTTGTGCCCTAATCATAGAAGAGCAAAAGAAGAAGAATTATGATGTCGATTGTAGAATTATTCAATTTTGCACATTTTTTCATCAACTTGGATTATAAACTGTATGTGTCACTTGCAACTGACGCCCTAAGACAACCCTTAGCCTACTTTTCTACCACAACCGGTAAAAGTTCTGGCACACCCTAGCAAACGGTTGTCAACCCTTCAACCCCACTCAAGTTAAATTATGGTGCATCACTTATAGGTCATGCCTAGCCAAAAACCCATAATTTGAAACATACGACAAATGTATGAAATGTTACTATATGGCCTCAATACTGAATATGCACAAACTTGCTTGAAACATGATGGAACAAGCATAAAATGATATTATACGGCACATTGATTAATCATCATCAAGAAATCTAGCAGAAAAATAACAGAAATGTATGATATGATACTATGGGCCCAAGGTATTGAATACAGAAAAACTCGTAGATTTTACAAGGGTAAAACAAAAATCCACAAATGTTTAGAAGTAAATATATAGCGCACCACTTTGGAATTCGATTTTGATTTGGAGTTTTGGTGGTTGTTTGCAGCCCCCGCTCTGTTTTTCCCATTCATAACTTCATAAACTGTCGGCAGATCGTTTATCCTGCTAAATAGGCGCTTCCTGCATTAGAGTCATAATCAGAAGCAGTAGCCAGTGCCTTGAACAAACTGTAGGGATAGCTCTATTCTAACAAACTATACTATAATTTACATCAGCAAGCCAATGAAAATGTATGTAAAGGAACGGTACTCGATAAACCTAGCACGTACGAAATGATCATGGATCTTTAAATTAAGACGAGCAATACAAGTTTTAAACTACACATCAAAATTTGAAAAGCATGAGATAAAAGATTGTAAATATATTCTTATAAAACTTATATGGACCTTTATGTTTGTCATAAAGTGGTAATCATTAGGAAAAATCACTTTAAATCAATTTTAAACACAAAGGAAACGAGATAAGTTTGGAGACAGAAAAAATTCCTCAAGTACTACTAATTAAGCAATACATGTTGCAGTTAACATCAAAATAATCACCTTCCCTAAGCTCAAGAATAATCTCAAAATAGCAAATTTAAACTGATGCAAAAAGCAAAAAGCAAAAAAAAAAGGATAAAGATAAATTTCTGAATAAATATGGCTTGTAACCATCCACAGGACCTTGCAGGTTTCACAGATGGAGATCTTTTAGCCATTTCTCACAAGCAAAATACAATTAAAACCGAAATAAAATCTGGCATACAGAATAACCACAACCAATAAAACTCACAAAACCAAAAGCATAAAAAAAAACTCCTTATATGACAAATAACGTGAAATTAGGGTGAACGGTAAAGTACAGTCTGCAAGCAACATTGTTAAAATGGCGGACAGAGTGGGGTAATGATGGAGCTCGAAATGTGGATACAGAGACAAGAATACTGAAGAAAGAGACTTCAAAAGATATGAAACCGGTGAACTGATCCAAACTGTATGCATTTGCACCAATTCACCTTCATTTTTTTGTATATGTATTCCTGCCAAAGTTTTTTGACTGACCCTAATATAAACTTCTCAAGTTGTAAAGACATAATCACGAAACTTTCTTTAAAACATTTATCATATATGAACATCTTCATCTTCAGCAGATTCGTAAGTCTCAAACACAAATTTAAGTTTCCAACAAAGACAAATATTGTGCATAAGATTTAGGAAATTCACAAGGTCTATCTGATGGTTCTCTGACCAAAATTAATTGTGGATATGGTGAATTGGGAAAATAAAATTTATATACGAAAATGTTTTTCATTTAAGTTGAACAAAATGTCTAAGAGAGATGATTTTTAGGCAAACTGGTAGAGTTTTCCTTCTTTCTTTAAGCAGTAGAAAATATAAGAAGATGCAAGACTTTCATATGATGGAAAAATTTACGTCCGAGGCATTCTTTAGCTCTCCTAGGCTAAATAAAGTATATGTCCAAGTCAGAGAGCAAGTGCATTCATTTTAGACAAAAGCTACAAGCAAAGCAATTGGGTCGTGCCTAAGGCGGCGACCTTATTGGGTTCACTCTGTTAAATTCAGCCACGGTAGTTGTTTGGCTGCCAACTTCTTACTTATTTTGTGAAAGGGCTCTTAACCCCTTAGTTAAATGGGATCATTATATTTCAAGGTCATAGATTCAAGCCACATACTTTGCAACTTATCGCTCAATATTCCCAAAAATAATCTACCGGCTTTCTAGGAAAATGTATTGGGAAGACAAATTTCTCTACCTGGATACTATAACTTCAGGAACTATATCCATGGTTTCTAAAATATAGATTGACAAACTTGCCCTTATCTTTCAGTTGAAATTATACAAGTTTGTGTCATCACAAGTCATATGTATAGTGTGATTTCTTAATAACAATACTCTCAAATGCATCGGCAGTTGCTCCAACGGCATCCGGCCTCTTGTGAGTAGAATCTTATGGTTAAAGGGCTCAAAACTAGACCAGTGGCTCGTCCCTATAATACAAATGCAGGCAATCTCTTCTACCCAGTGCTGCAAAGCTCTAACAAGTAGCATAGGCAATAGGCATGAAGAATTATTTGAAGTAAAAAACTTCTTCTATTCATTAATCACTTGGGCTAATATATAGCCTTACAAAATTTTAACAAATAACTCCCTATACTTCTTCTATATTCCCTATTTACAATTAGGAAGCTAAACTAGATTCAAATCTCAACACTTCCCCTCAAGATGGGCAAAAGATATCCACTAAACCCATCTTGTCACATAACTTAGACAAATCAAAAGAGCTAAGTCCTATTGTGAGACAGTTAACCACTTGCTCTCTAGTGGCTACAAGATGTAGCAGCACTAGTTCGTTATTCAGATTTTCCTTGATGAAGAACCAGTCAATCTCCACATGTTTTGTTCTATCGTGTTGCACCAGGTTGTTCGCAATGTTGATTCCTGACTTGTTGTCGCACCACAACTTCATTTGAGCACCTTGATCCACCTTGAGCTCTACCAATTACGTTCTTAGCCACATCAACTCGACAACTCCTAAGGCCATGACCCTATATTCTGCCTCTGTTGTTGACCTCGCTACTACCGACCGTTTCTTCCTCCTCCAAGAGAGAAAGTTGCCTCCTACAAAAGTGCAGTATCTAGATGTGGACCTTCTGTCATCAATACAACTCGACCAATCAGATTCACAATAGCCCTCATTGCCTACATGTCCATTCTTCCTGAAGATCAACCCCTTCCCTGGTGCACTTTTCAGGCACATCAGAACTTGATACACAACAACTATGTGGGCCTTCCTCGGATCATGCATGTAGCGACTCACCACGCTTACTGCAAATAATATGTCAACACGAGTGTGACACAAATAGATGAGATGACCCACCAACATCTTGTACCTCTCTCAATCAACTGGCTCTCTTGCCTCTGCACTCAACTTTCTCTTCTGATCAATTGGTGAAACTGAAGGCTTGCACCCCAACATTTTTGTCTCTGTGAGCAATTCTAGTGCATACTTCCTCTAAGATAGAACAATTTTATCTGCTCCACGAGCCACCTCAATTCCAAGTATCTAAGTTGAATCAGGTCCTTCATCTCTCTTGCTCAATCTTGTCTTTAGTAGCACAATCTCTCCCTCATCATCACCAATGACTAACATATCATCCACATACACAGCAAGTATAATGGTGTGACCACCCATTCGTTGAGCAAATAATGTGTGATTAGCATTGATTTGTTCATAGCCCATGTCTGCCACTGCTATTCTGAACCTGTCAAACCAAGCTCGAAGGAACTGTTTCAAACTGTATAGTGACTTACTCAATCTACATACTTTGCCCATTGTTTGTTTTGTACCGAAGCCTGGGGGTACCTCCATGTACACATCCTTCAACAGATCCCCATGAAGAAACACATTTTCACATCCAGTTAGTGTAACCTAAATCCACCATTCATAGCTAGAGAAATGAGAGTCCTGACTATGCCCATCTTCACTATTAATGCAAGTGTTTCATCATAGTTGATGTCATATGTCTGACTATACCCTTTAGCCGCCAACCGTGTTTTTTAGCGATCAATTTTTCCTTCTGATGGCTGCTTCACTGTGAAGACGCATTTGCACCCGTCTGTCTTTTCCCTGCTGGTAGCAAAGCGAGCTTCCACTTCTTATTCTTCCAAAGGCACCAAGTCCTCCGGCATGACAGATCTCCACTTTGGATCCTCCTTAGCTACCTGCCAACACTTGGATATAAAAACAGCGTCCAAAGGTGCATTGAATGCTCCATATAAAGATGATTTGTTAGAATATGAGACAAACTGAGCAATGTCATGTGAAAAACCAAAACAATCAAAAGAATAACGAGCATGAGAATGACCAAAATTGTTGCGAGAAGTCCTCCTTAAAGTCATGGGAGTGAGAGGAGAAGGAAGAGGAATCATCTCACCTGTGTAAGCTGATTCTAAGGTGGATGGTGCAGATGTATCAGGAGTCAGGGTAAACTGGGACAAAGGATTTGATGGCACGAGTGGCACAACGGACAGTGTTCCCTCATTCTGCTACCTCCTCCTTGTATACACTCTCAGTTCCCCTTGAGCTTCAATCTCACCACGTAAAGGCTCATTTTCATCATTGTTCGACTCTTCCTCAACTTTATTTTTCTCATTCATAATAGATCCTTCCCACACAATGGGACAAGACATCGTTCCCACATGTATCAATTTCTCACCATCACCAGTCTCCCCCTCTCGGGTCATGCCTCCAGTATCTAACAAGTCACCAAAGAGTGAGATTACCTCCAAGAAATAGAACAGTTTGAATTCTCCAAACGCCACATCCATACTCATAAATAAGCTCCTCTCTATTGAGCTTCAACAGCTATATCCCTTCTGAGTAGCAGAATAAACCACAAAAACACACTTCACAGTGTTGGGATACAGCTTCCCTATTGATGGTCTATTATCTTCACAAAACATACACAACCAAATACCTTCAATAGAAGAATCTTGCTATTATCTCATTTTAACAACTCACAACGAGATTGTCACTCCAACACTCTCCAACACTCTTGAGTGCATTCTGTGATCAATTGAGCAACTATTAAAATTACTTACCCCCACAAGTGTTATGAGACATTCATCGAGATCATCATGCTTCGAACTATCTCTCGAAGGTGTCTATTTTTCCCACTCTATTACTCCATTTTGTCCGGTGTGAATGGACATATGGTTTGATGTTGTAACCCCTGAGCTAACAGGTACTCCTCAAACACCTTATTGGTATACGCTGTAACATTATCAGATATCAATATATTCACTACTGCACCGTATTGGGTCTGAATCGCCCTATAAAAGTCTTTAAAGCAAGCAAACAGATCACTTTTGTTCCTCATTAGATATAACCAGGTAACACAAGAAAAAATAATCAATGAATGTCACAAAATATCTATAATCATTCATCGAAATTGTAGAACAATATCCTCATATATCAGAATGTATCAAATCGACACCAGAGCTCAAATTCCCAAACTGGCATAAGAGCTCCTAGTGAGCTTTCCAAACTCACAAGCATCACACACCAATTCCTCCTTATTTGTTTTTTCATAAAAGAATGGATACAAACGACTCAATAAACTGAACGAAGAGTGTCTCATGCACCTGTGATGTAGCAACAATACATCCTCCACACTCCTCTCAGATCCTCCTATTCCAGCATTCTCAACCATGGATGATAAGGTTGAGTCAATTCTCTCTCTATTCAAGTACCAGAGTCCATTATGACACATGTCAGTCCCAAGTCTTTGGTCAATCCTATTAGCTTGAAGGATCACTTTAGGAATATCAAATGAAACAACACATTTTAGTTGAAGAATAATAGCACTAATGGATATAAGGTTCGCTTGAAAGGAAGGAACACACAAAAATATTGGACAAAGTCATAAAATCGGTACCATCACTATACCCTTACCAACCATAGGTTGTGACGTACCATCAGCAGTCTGAATGCTCTCTAGAATCGCTAGATGAGTATAGGAAGATAACAACCTAGTATTACCAGTCACATGTCAAGATGCACCATAATCTACTATCCATTTTAGTGTTCTTGTGGTAGATATAGAGGTAAAAACATGTGTATCATGAGTACCTTTTGTTGAGTGAGCATAAGTAGCAATGTTGCCATTGGATGACGATAAGGTGGATGCATCATCGATCACATTACTTGCCGCTCTATGCTTCCTGTTCAACATCTTCAGTAATTCGTGATCTTCATCAGTAAAGACTACCCTCGTCTTTCTCTCATTCTTTGCTACCATCAGATTTGCACGGTAACCTCTTCTTCCACCCCTTGGGCCGCTACGATTACAAGTACGGCCTTTAGAATGTTCACGTCTACCCTTCTCTTTCTCTTTGGGTGGCTTTGGACAAGCTATGCTAAAGTGCCTCATTTGTTTGATAAAAACATCCCTCCGAAGGTTGGATCCTTTGGTAGCATCAGGGAGTGTCCTTCCACTGGAATCTAAGGATTGTCCTTTCTGTCAGGGTGAAAGGGAATTTCAGGCCCTCCAGTAGCCTCACAGCAACAACACTAGCCAACTGATAAAAATTAGCATATTAGAGAATAGGAAATTGCTCCTTGATCGGCTATAACAACGTAACAGCAATATGCAGCCCGCTGTTGGCACCATGAGGAACTCCTTGTGCCTCAACATTCCAAATGGACCACCAGCCTTTGTCTCCACATCCTAAATCTCAGCCGAATGTCATGCCAAACGGAGCATGATTGGTGCGCAATTCTTCTTAGCAATGAGTCCCCGAAGCTTCCTCCTGGCCTTTTCCAAAGCCTTCTCGTACTCTTCACTGACGAAGGGATAAATGACCTGGTCATTCCCGATCAAACCGATCAACTTAGAGAGAGAAAATCAAGCTCCAACCTTCTGCTATGCAGCATGCCCAGACCACTCATCCTTGCCTTGCAACGACCCGCTCCTCTCTGCGCAGAAGCGACAGTCCGCACTTCTTACGTCAAAACCATCGTGTGATCTCTTCCTTCCCAGTAAGCCGCGAACGAGTCGTTACCTTCTCAGTTAGCTTTAATTGCGACTGTGTCATTCAAATCACGCCGCAATCCTGTCTCCATTTCGCACACAGGCCGTGATCCCTGCTCCATTCCGCAAGCAACAGGCCACGCTCCCCTTCTTCACACGAACGAGTGCGAATCTCGCATCTCAAATCCTTCTCAGTTAGACTTCGTAGCCCTCCTCCCTGCTTCACTCCAGAAGCACCAAGCAGCACTCCCTTCCTTACGTGTACAAGTGAAAGGCTAGGTCCATGAGGGAAGCAACAACGGGATCACAACTCACAGGGACCGCCGAAGCTCCCGTCTTTCTAGTCTTACATTATGTCCTCCCGCGATCGTCGGTCAGAGAGTCGCGATGAAAGAGCATTTCAAACATAATAAACAATTATGCAAGCTCCAACAACCATTACCTCTGTACGCAGCATTCATCTATTCACCTCATACAAAACAGAACATCCGACATGACAGTTCTTCCAACTTCTCAAACAAAGCACTCGGGCAATTACTCGATATTGCAAACATTAATATATTAAAAGACATCCACATAACAAGAAAACCAAGAATATATGCCAGAGGCATCTCTGTATCTTCAAAAAGAAAACCATTAGTATGATTTTCCCAACCCAGATGATCTATACACATACAGCAGCAAAAACCGAGAATTTTTCTCCATAATCTCTGCTCAACATAGAGGCATGATACTGAAATGGACAAAAATATACAATGTAACAACAAAATTGAATTGCAAAACATCACACGGCATTTGAACTGTTTCAACAGCAAGATGAATATAGTTTACGAATGAATAAAAAAAATTAAAACTATCCAAGTGAAAAGCAAAATTTTGAACAAATAAATCCAAGAAAATTCTCATATAATAAAAAAATTAACAATTATATAAAATGGTTTATGCTGAATTGGTTAAACAATTACCTGCCAACTTCATCAAAGCCAAATCTAGCACCAAAATAAAAGGCCACAGAAAGTAACCATGCATCACTATGGACAGCCACCAATGCTAACCAATCTTTATTTTGCATTCCATCCCTAGCAAAGTTAATGCCCAGAGCAGGTTCAGGAATCTCAGGTGGAACCTCCTCTGCAGGCAAATTAACTTCCCATTGTTCATTTGGATGCCCATAGAGGCACAAGTTTTCCTTCTCTGTCATATGTACATCCAGTTAAAAACAAGGAATAAAAACAAGAACTAAATTAGAAAAATACTACATCAGAAAACCAGATAGACAAAGTAATACAGAATCGTCATCAATTTGACATATGCCATATAAAGCCAAAACATAACCATGTTTCTTTAGATATGACAGGCAACGGAAATACACCACATGGTCTATTTCTACGGCAATTACCGATACTAGAATTAAAAAAGGAAAGAAAGGTACTAACGAGAGATGAAAGGAGAGAGAGAGAAAGAGAGGGAGAGAGAGAGAGAGAGAGAGAAGAGGAAGGCAGCTGCTCACATTTCAAAATTTGTAATTCCATAATAATTCATAAACCAAGCACCAAGGGTCCTATTTATATTGAAAGGAGCCCTAGGATTAAAAGCAAATAAAATAGCATGAAATAGAAAGGAAATAACAAAAATATAATAAAAGATGAAGAATATATAAATAATTTCTGAACACAAATATTAAAATAAATCTGAAAATATTTATTCAAACATTTTCTCAAAGTCAAGTATAAGCCTGGATCAAATGGCCGACAGAAATTAGAATGGAGAAGTTGCTACGAGCTGAAAACATTAAGCAGTCAGTACTGAGTGGTAAATCATGTTGGGAGAGAGGCGAAAGCTAAGATTTTTAGGGTTTATAGCTTAGGTTTAGCAATAAGCATGAGGCACTGAGCAAGAAACCATGGACAATTGGGATTTTAGATTGCGGTCCAAATTGTGGGATTCTGGATACTTTATAACACAACTTCAAATAATGGAGAAAATGTGATGCGAGGGTGGAAAGAGAGAAGTGTTTGGCTTAAATTCAAGATGCCCTCAACGCCTAAATAAAGCTGTCAAAGAAAAACAGATGTTTGACTTGGATTTTAGATGGCCCCATATATAAAGGAGTACGAAGACCTTTCCCGAGTAAAAATAATTAATTTTCAATTAACATATGCACTAAACACGCTTGAAAACCCCAAGTATGAGTGTAAAAAGCTAAGTATTCATGACTAGCTTGTGAATGTCCATATTTGGCTCATCGTTAACATAAGAAGCTAAAGTGAACAAGTTGTTTTTATCTTTCTTTTTCCAATTATTACTAAATAAAAAAACATGAAAATTATATCAAAACATGCTTGATAAAAAAATATTCGACTAAAATTGAAAATATGCTCGATCATATGTTTTGACATAATCATCATTTATATAAATAAATATGTAAATATATACATAAATACATGTAAAGTTATCACTCACGTTTTTTATTGTTAAAAATCAATTAAAAAACAAGAATTAAATTTCTAACATTGAAATGATCTTGCACTCGACAAATTTTTTTTAATGCAATAAGAGGAATCAATTAATTAGTTGATGGATTTGATCATCATCAAATTAAATTTTTGTTCACGTTTAGTTAGATAATTAATTGCTGAAATTTCTAAAATTGTAATGTTTAAAATTTTAATTGCCGGATATGATCAGTAAAAAGAAATTAAAAAAGAGTTAATGTTGTGCCATGTAGATATAAATTTACTAGTAAGTAATGCCCATGTGGAAAAACTTTTTTTTCCCCAAATTTAGCTACAGGTATTCTAAGGCAAAGAGGGGGATATCTGTCCCTACTTCATAAGTCTTTCGCACCATTTTCTTATGTGAAATAGAGAAACAAGCTAAGAAAAAGAGGAGGAGGAAGAAGTGGCATTGACATGAAAATATAAAGAATGTTTATCATGGAATTGGTGCAAAACGGCAGATTCCCTACTTCTCCTCTAAAGGAAAGACTCATCATTGTTCCAAGCTTTCCATTTTAGAATATAAGAAGTTGGACTCTTCCTCTAATATCTCCATCATCATCATCCTCTTTCTCTTAACATCAGTAATTGCTACTATGTAAAATCCTACATTGAAAATGAAACAAAGTTCAATTTCAATAAAAAACTCCTATTCTTCCCTTTTGCATGTCCTTGACGATCTAGAGTGCACATTTGCTTCGACAGGGTTTACATCTCTTGAATTCATTCAAAGTAATGTCTCTCTTCACCGTTCTTTCCATTACTAGCTCATGAATATGGAGGAAAAATGCATCTTTCACTGAGGGAGAAGTGGCTTGATGAGTAAATGGAAGAAAGCTCTTGCCTTGTGGGAGGCTTGTCATGCGCTTAAGCTCAAAGATCCCGCCATGGAGAATTACATCTTTACTGAAGCTAAAAAAGGCTTCCTCCCCCAATTGCCTGGTTTCAAACTAGGTTATTTTGTTAATTAATTACCTCAGGAAAACCCCCCATTACAATCTTGTTTTCAAAGTTCTGCTCTAATTTTAAACTATTGTTCTAAATAGGCAATTTATTTTATTTTATAATGAATATCTACTAATAAGTTCTCTTCTCCTTCGGTAGAGCTCTGACAACAGGTAAGACGGTGTCAAAAATGCCACTGGTAGCTATTGACTGAAGGTTAGGCAATATGAATGGGGATGTTATTATAAAATGAACGTAACAAAATCTAATATTTGGGAGGTATTCAAGGAAACCTTAGAATTATCCTTGGATTGGGTTTTAATATATATATATGTGTGTGTGTGTGTGTGTGTGTGTAAGCTAAGCCAAGGTACCATGATTTTACAACTTCTTATTTTTTCAATAAAATATAAAACATTGTGATTTCAATTTTTTTTGCTAATAAATGAGTTAAACAACAACAACAAGCATTTATCCCACTAAATGAGAACGACTACATGAATCTTTTTTGTCCATTATGTCCTATTGAGTGTCATATTTTCATTTAACTCTAATAAATTAAGATCATATTTTATACAACATATGCAAGTCTCCCTTTTTATACATCTATCTTTCTTAACAAAAGACAATTTTAAAACATCTGCTCCCCTAACATGGTCATTAGATGCTAAATATTTAACATGACCAAACCATCTAAGGCGGCTCTATCTAATATTGTTTGTGATTAGAGCTACACCAACCATTTCAAGGATATATTCATTTTGCATTGTCTTCAAGTGTAAAGCCACCCATCCAACTGAGCATTCTCATCTCAGCAACACTTAATTTTATTTTATGGTTCTCTTTTACATACCAATATTTCGCACCATAGAACATTGCACGTCTCACCACAATCTTATAAAATTTTCCTTTAAGTCTACATAGTACTTTTCTATCACACAATAAGTCTGATGCATTCCTCCACTTCAACCATCCAACTTGAATTCTACTAATAACATCCCTATCTATATCACCATCACTTTGAACAAGAAACCCGGGATATCTAAAAAGTTCACTCATTTCATGATTTGATCACTAATTGTTACAACCTCGCCACTAGATCTACTACTATTAAAATTAACTTTAATATATTAAATTTTGGATCAACTCAAACGAAAGCCATTAGATTCTATAGTTAACCTCCATATATAAAGTTTTTTTTCTTGAAATCTCTCTAGTCTTATCCACAAAAAATGATATCATCAGTGAAAAACATACACCAAATTACATACTCTTGTAAATGTACAGTAAGAACATTCATAACTAAAGCAAAAAAAGATATGAGCATAAAGTCAATCCTTGATATAATCCAACTGAAATAAGAAAATATTTGACCGATCAATCTTGTGTTCGAAATCAAGTAATAGCTCTAGTATATATATCTTTAATGATTTGAATATAAGTAATATCAACATTTTTCTTTTCTAGAACTCTCCAAAGTACTTCCCCTGAAACATTATCATATGCTTTTTCTAAGCTAGCAAAAATCATATATAGATCTTCCTTACTCTTTGTGAACTTTTCCATCAAACCTTTCAAAAAACGTCTAGCTTCCATAGTAGGCTTTCTCAGCATGAATCCAAACTGATTTTGAGAAATTTTTTTGAATCACATCATAACCTATGTTCAACTAGTCTCTCCCATAACTTTAATGTATGATACATTAACTTAATTCATCTATAATTTTAACACTCTCATACATTCTTTTTATTTTTAAAAATAAAAACCAATAGACTATTTCACCAATCATCATAAATTTTTTAGCTTTTTATAATAATATTAAAAAGTTTAGTAAACCAAGAGCTTCTCATATTTTTCAAATATTTTCACATTTCTATTCTAATACCATCAAGTCATACTATTTTTCAACACTTCAATTTTGTAAAGCCTCATCAACTTCTATTTTACTAAGGCTAAATTTTTAAAATTTTACATTTTAAAAAATTTTAAATCGATGCGACTTTGTCACATCAACGGTAAAGTCACCGCAGGCGTGACAACTTAGTAAATTATTTTTTTATTTTATTTTATATTTTTGTTGCCGAAGCAGAAAAAGCAAGTAGGAGATGTTGACAACACAATGCAAGCTTGGTAGGCAATGTTTAATTGATAATTTCAATTAAGTTAAATTTGAAAAATAATTCTGCAACTTTTTTTTTATTTTGTATCGTTCTCATTGATTTAGACAAATCAAAACCTGTTTATGTGTGCGTGTATATATATTTCTTCCTATTTAATTTAACTTTTTCTAAAATAAATCCCCAGAAAAATTTGAAAACGGAAATGAGGCAAGTCAAATTATTAGATTAACTTATAGATTTTTCTATCCACAAATATTTATGTATTATAATCAATCCATCTTTAGCAATTTTATTTAAAAAATTTTAATTTACCAGAATTAAAAGCACTAAAAAATTCCAAGTTCAATGAAAGAATTTGTGACTCTGTTATTGGAAAATACTAATTTTTTGGAAGACATGATATTTACTGAACTGCAAGAATTTCTTAAAAGTGAATGGTTATTTTGAAAATTAAAAAAAAAAACAAATAGTGTTTTTTATTCAACGTGTAGTTTTCTCCCTCTACGAAATTAAAAATATATATATATATTTTTTTTTTATTTTTTTTTTTATTTTTTTTGAAACATGTGAGGCATTATACAAAATAGGAAGTTGGACCGAAATAAAAATAGTTATTTGACTGACGGAAGCACACAAAATTGGAAATTTATATAGAGTTCAATAAATAAAGGCAAATATTTTAAGACATTTATAATGCCAAAGATTAAAAAAAAAATTACCAAGTCGCCATGTCAGCAGCAAACTGGCGACTTTGTCGATTTAAAAAAAAAATTTAAGTTTCATTTTAAAAATTTAGTCTATTCCTAACATGATGGTAAGAAAATAAAATTTTATTATTACATATGACATTAAACACTAAAGTCAATCATGTTTTCACAATTTTCATTGAAAATTTTATTAAAATAATTCACCCACCAATGTTGAATACCCTAGTCTAAAAAGAGTGATTTTTTATTTTCATTATTAATATGTTTTACTTAATTTCCATATAACTTTAGTGATTTTTTTATAAATATATATTTCTTACTTTTTGGCATCTAATATATTATAAAAATTATTAAAAGCAGAATTCTTAGCTTCATAAATTATTCTCTTAGAATCCTTACGGAACACCTTATATTTTTTCTAATTCTCGAAGCTTTTACATTTAAATCAATTTTTATAATAAATTTTATTTATCTTTTATTGTACATTATTATTACACCTCAAACAATTTTTATTCATAAGAGTTTTTTATGTCGAATCTGCAAGCACGATTTTGCAAATTGCTTAATAATACTTGTTATTTAATCCCACATCGTATTAGCTTTTTTCATGAATATCCCAAATCTTATGATTTTGGAGTTTAATATTAAGAAAAATTTTATTTGTGTCTTTTAAATGTTCTCGTCTGATACTGTGATAATTTTTCAATGTATTTTTTATTTTCCAATCCTTCAACTTAAAATTCAAAACAAATAATTAATGTTGGATATTAAAATATTCATTTAGAATGAACTTACAATCTTTATAATCTCGATGATCTATTTTTCTCATAAGAAAATAATTAATTTATGTTTTATTAGAGTCATTCTTATAAATGATTATATGTTCATGTATATTCTTAAATAAAGTTAAATATGGCAAAATCCAATATAGCTCTATCTTTTTCATTGATCATTCCAAAATCATAGTCATCATAAATGCTTTTAAAATTTTTTATCATTCTACCTGCGACATGTTTATTTAAATCTCCTACAATAATTTTTTTTTTATTCAAGAGGCATTAATTATATTAATTATTATAGAACATTCCAAAATTTTTATTTTGAACATTTATACAAACTTATCTGGAGATTATAAGCACTTGTAACATTAAAAAACTTAGTACCAATAATAATCATTATATTTATAATTTTATCTCTAATTCTATTAATTATTGCATTATCTTTCCAACTTTTATTTATAATTACACATATCATTTCTAGCATAACAATTACCTGAATATCTAAATTTAAAACTTAAGTTATCAATTTTCTTAATTTGTTCTTCAAGTCATTTAGTTTCTTGAATGCATAAAATATATATTCTTTTATAAATCATAATTTCTACTAATTTTATTAATTTATCTATGAATGTACCTATATTCCAAGTTTTTATCCTAATATTAGTTTCAACGACTAATTTCTTTGCTCGCATTCATCCTTAATGTGAGAATCCTTGTTTATTCAATACTACATGGTGCAACGACCTTTGCGCTCTTTTCATTGCATTCAGGCAATACAACATGTCGCTTCCAGATGACGCCCTAGCATTGATAATGATCTAAATGATTCATGTCATAATTTTTTGACAAAATTTTTATGCCAATTGTCAACTGCTTAAGCCAATCCTCCATTTCTAGCATTCAAAACTTCACAACTGGCAATGGAAGTGCTTAAATGAGTTAAACATAAGAACATTTTTTGTCTATTAACAAACTTGACTTCATTCTAGTTTGACTATAAAGTTAATGCATCATTCAAACAGGCCCCAAAATCAATTAAATTTTGTTCATTTAAAACCATCCCTCATAGTAAAGCATAAACACAAGTATAAAACATCTATTAGGTCAAAAATACATTTCTTCATCCCACTATCCCTACATCGATTGTAACCTATTGAAGAAAAACCAACAAAGTAAAAAAAAAAAAAAACTGCATAGTGTTAACATTAGATAAATTTTAAAGTTTAAAATTAGAGAAAGCCAATGTTTGACAAGGAGCTTTTGGAGCAAGCTCAAGATGTTCTTTCATGTAGAGCAACTAAAATTGCCTCAAGTTAGTTGAAAGTAGTGTTTGGCTAGGGAACAAATGCCTTAAGATCAAAACATTATTCCAAACGTATGAAGTGTGTCCTTTGCATCTAATTGTTAAGACATACACCTCATGTTATCAACTTAACTAAATTAATCAAGAAGTACCAAAGAGAGTACATAATAAGTTCACTTATTTTATTTGTTTAATTTCTTTTAACATTATATTTTTGTGTAAATTGGAAATAGAATAGAATCATATATTTTTTTATCTTTAGACTTTCCTCTTTTCCTCACATTTGAAAATTTTCAATAATATTTTTATTCTTCAATGAAAAAATAGAAAATACAGGGAAGTAAAAATAACTATGAAATCCTCACCCGGGTCGCACTGCTGGAAGAATTCCTCCACATCTGCCAAGCAAAAGGAAGGAAAATTTTCCGTAAGTTACAGAAATGCCAAAATAGAACAAACCGAGCCCCTTTTCCTTTTCAAGGAAGAGGAAACCCTAGGAAGAGAGGCGGGAGAAGGGGATTTAGGAAGAAGAAAAGGTACCAGTCGTGAGCGCCTTAATAAGGGCGGCGCGCCGGGCTTTATAGTCATGGAAGACTTCCTCCACCGTCCGAGGGTTGTACTGCGGTGCTCCTCCGTCCATTGTTCCGGCGACGGCGAGAAATCGAGAGACGTGATCTCACCGGCGGCGAGCGGGAAGAAGGAGATATGGAGGGCAGAGTTAGAGGAATGAATGTTTTAAAAGGAGGGAAGAATATTGCCGCATGGAGAAAGAAGAAAGAGACGGGTTGGACATAGAAATCTGACAGTTTAACTGTAATTGAGAGATTTCGGAGTCCGGAGTTCTAAAGATTGAATTTGGACACTCTATTTACATGTATATTATTTCAATACCATCTCAATATTATCGATTCATAGAAACGTATATTGAAAGTAATATTCGCTCCTAAACGTATATGATCTTTTTTTTAATAACTTAGGCATTGTTTGAGAACGAGGCTCTGCTCTGTCGCATTGCAGAGTATGTTAATAGAATCTTTCGTTTTTGTTTGGCTCATCTCTGACTTTGGGAGTTGTGTTAACCGCACGTGTATTTCTCTTCCATTTTAGAACTCGAGATCTCCAAGACTTTCGCTCTGCCACCCAACGTTCCATTTTTCTGAAACTAGAGCTTATCGGGACGTTGCTTTTAAACGGAATTTTCTTGAAGGTAAAGCGTTGTCAAACGAACCCTTAAGCGCACTATGTCAAGTATTAAGTGTGATCTGAACTCAAGCATCTATGAATGGGACACGAAGCCCTCGACCATTCGGCCGCCTATTCAAAAACATGTATATGAACATTATTCGTACATCCCTCTCGTAGTGATAATTTTATCCATCCCAATCTATATATTAGATTATAAATGAATACAAATATCATATACAAAAAAAATATTTTTTTTTTTACTTTCCATATTCTATAATAGCAATAATGTGAGAAATGCACTCATTCTTATAATTCTTTTAGACAAAATATGTCATACTAGCTATTTTTTAGCCAACATACTCTTGAATTGAAAGGGACACTAAAATGTAATATAAATAAATATTTGAGAAAGAATTTATTTGATTTTTCGCACTTACTCAGGCATAACTGTTAGAATGTTGCCTCCCATCATGAGGTTGTGAGTTGAAATCATACATATTGCTCTTTAAATTCACTTTTCCCGAAAAAATATATCGGTCTTAATAAATGTATTAACAAAGTAATAAAACTTGCTTGTTGATGAAAATTGTACCCATGATTTTATATATATATTATATATATATATTCTTCTTTTTTTTATGGAGAGCAATATTTTTTTATGTTAAATCATGCTTGAATATAATTTTACTAGATTTGTGGTTGGATGGAGTAAAAGATAATATATTCTAAACAATATTAGGAAAATAAATATTATAATTTATGTGTCTATATTTATGTATGTATATGTTTTGAATATATTTTGGTCAACACAAATAATAATCCATATCAACATATCATTTTTGCTACATAAAAATATTGTCATCAAATTCATCACAATTATCAAATAAGATTGGCAAAAAAGAATGATTGTGCATGTTTTTTTTTTTTTTTTTGTATTGAAGTTTAGCTTTTCAAATACTATTATTAATGAATTCTACAATACTTTGCTCACAATTCTATCAAAAAAGTTTCAAGATATATCATTAAGGAAATAGTCACAATTGCAAAAACAATTTTTATTATAAAGCATGGGTTAAGCATTAGACTCTTATGTGGTGAAGGTTAGTGTGTATCAAGTAATGTACCTTGTGATTTTAATAATAGATTAAAGGCTTTGTCTTAAACTATAGCCATGCATCTTATTATATATATTATATTGCTTAAACAGCCTTTCCTTTTAATTAATGTTATGAGGAGTTTGTACATGTGAAACAGGAAAAAAATATTTCGTTCAAACGTCCGAACGGCCAATCACCAGCGGTCACGTCGTTCATTGATGACGTGTATGACAACGTGACCGCCGATGATTGGTCGTCCGGACGTACGGTGTCTGGATGAAACTTTTTTCTTGTAGAACAGAGAGATTGTACTGTAGAAATAACTCAATAAACTTATTCAATAATTATGAAATGGAGGAATAACAAGTTGTAGAGGGTTGAATCCAAATTGTTTTTCTTCAACAAGATGGAGATATACATTGTTAATTTGAATCAATTGTTGAGATTATCATGGTAATAATACAGGACGGTTTGAGTAGCGAGCGAAGAGATGAAAACTAAAATGCACTCATTCTAGAGTATATAGAAGAAGGGCTTACATATTATAATGTCGTGATTTTAGTGAAAATTTTAAAACAAATAATAAAACATATAATAAATGATGGATGTGTAAGTTTAATTAAATTAAACTTATTCTTCTACCTTATTATTATTATTTTTTAAAAAAATGGTGAGAGACTATTATATGAACCTCCAATCACTCATAATGGTGAGAGACAATTTGAGTACCACCTCCTTCAGGTCAACTGTGTCAGAGGAGATTTGAACCCCCGACCTGAGAGATCTTACACCCAGGATGTCAACCAACAAACCAAGGTACACGACACAAATACACTCATATCTATCTATTTATCTATCTATCTATCTATCTATCTATCCATCTATATATATATATATATTATAGAATTAGTAATAAAAATGATGATTTACTTCTATGTATCTATGTGATCATTTTCTACATTTGATAAGAATATTTAAAATATATCACTAAATTTTATCCTTATGACCTTCCAAATATATATCTCATGGTGCTAAATAATTATATAAAATACTTGGTTTGACATTAACAATTGCTATAACAATAGTTGAGCAAACTTTTCCAATATAAACATGATAAGAGTTTCTTACCCAATCATATGGATGAAATACTCAAATGAATGAGTATATAATTGCATATATTAAAAAATATATATTTAATATTATTTATAATTGGAATAATAATACAACAGTTTTAAAATATAAAGACTCCAAAGGGGAAAGCATAGGCAACACTCCTATCATTGTAAAAAAGTTTAGCATATATTTATTATTTTTATATTAAATTTGAAAAGTAATCAATGTCAATCGTGATTAAAGAAAGATTAATTTTGTTCAAATAATGCTCAGACAAGTCATAGTAAGGTTGGTAAAGGCTCGATTAAGGTGTGAGATAATTTTAAGCAATATTAAATTTTAATTTAAATATTTTTAAAATATTATTTGAAAACCGCCAAAGTTTTGTCATTTTACATCACAAGTGACCTTCTCTGTTCCGACAACATGACTTTCAATGGAACTTCACTGAACGGGGAAGCTCCTTTGAACACTTGAAACACATAACTGATGAACCTGACGTATTTCAATTTCGCAAGCAGCAAGTTTATTATCAGTATTTGTTGAGCCTTTCTTATAGATATAAAATATATATTTTTTATTTCCTTTTGACATGGACCTCATTTTTTATTTTCACTAGAGATGCACATTTAGTTCCCTGGTTTCTTGGTCCTCACATTTGATTAGCTAAGAAGGGAAAAAGAATTAAATATGTGAAACATACAACTACAAATAGCCTATCATTAAAGTGTTATGTATCTAAGGTTAAGAATGAAAAAAAGACAGCAGAGCAGTTAACGTATCTGGTTGTTTAGTGATTAAACTCTTAACAAAAAATATGTTGAAGAACATATTGTACCATGAAAAGAAAACTGCTAGTGGAAGTGCAGATTTTCTAACATTCAGCTTTTATGGAAACATAACAGCATCAAGTAGTTTAAAATGTGCTAAAAAAGGAGAGCACTAATGGAAAGGATGACAAACTTATAAGAATTTGGACTTGGTCTGAAATTTCAAGGAAAAAAGCCCTTTCTTTCTGAATATATAATAGCATCTTTCATTGCATTTAGAAAATCCTAAATTTTGTTACACATAAATCTTGCGACTTAATCGCTGCCTACCATGGAAGCAGAAAAACCTATTGGTTTCATTTCATTTGACAGATTTAGAAGTTGGCCGTCCAGTTAAGGCGGCCAAGCTGGGACTGCTGAAATGCCCCAACCTGGGGGCCTCCAGCAGCCAAACCCACAGGAGGTACCTGATGGTGAACAAGGTGATGTGGAGCAGCAATGGAAGCAGGCTGCGGTGGGTGATACATACCAGGAGGGTATTGCATAGGAGATGGTTGTGCTGTTGCAGCAACAGCATTAAAGGAGGTATGGCCACTAGCAGTGGCGGCGGCAGCTGCAGCGTGTGCTGAGACAAAAGCTGTTGGATGAGATGCGTGCCCTGATATGTTGTAATATGGCATCGACTGAAGGCTTGGAAGTTCCCGAGGGGTCTGCATCCACATATCAGAGGTCTCAGCCTACAAAAGGAACCACAATATATAAGACGCATATGAGAAATGAGTGTATAACTCATTCTCTGAGTTCAGGTAGGATAACTTAATCTATTTTTTTTAAATGCTTTAAACATAAATATCACTTATTATTGCTAGTTAGATCTAACAGCAAACCCAGTTTGGCAGAACGATTGGTGGATGAAGCAAATTCTTTTTCGTTGATCATTTGCATTAAAAAGATGATATTAATATGAGGACACAAAAAAAAAGAAATATAAAAAAAAAAGAAACGAGAGCAAGGTCACACTTCTGAGCTTTCAAATTGACAGCCTTCGGAAATTAATCTCAATTGATGTCTTTAGCTCTCAATTTTAGAGTTTGAGGATCACCAAAACCAAAAAATATCACCAATAAAGACATTAAAAAAACAATTTCACAAGATATTTTTTTAAGAAGGCTATCATAAAAAATACTTGAAAAAAAAAAAGAAAAAAGACGGTAGGAAATTCAATTTTCAGTTTAGTAAACGTGTTGATGTGCCTTCCGAATACGGAAAACAAGGCAAGAAGAAAAGAATTAAAAAAAATTAACTTATTTAAAAATACTTTCAAACAGGACAAGAGGAATATTATTCAACTAGAGCCACTCAATTTTAATTAAGTTTAATTTATAAGCAAAAAGGTCCTATGTTTGCATTGTACAACGGCTAAATGAAACAAGAACAGAACTCCTAGGTTGAAAATCATTAATTTAAAAACAAAAAAAAAATCAAAACCAGCAAAGCAATCAAATGTGTGAAATCACTCTTCTGCAATTAAAAACATAGAAGAGTCATTAAATGTAGAAACTATTCCAATTAAAAGTACTATATTATTATACTTCAAATATTATAGCAATCATGAAGACTAGACAATCCATGTAGAAATATATAAATTGCTTGAATGGCATCATTGAAGTTACTGGAATTATATTTTAACTTGTTGATAGACGCCAACTAATATCATACCTGCTGATTCGGAGCATAAAGATTATTTTCCTTGTACTTGATCCTCATCATATCCTCGAGCACTGTAGCACCTCCAATAGGGCTAGGGGTACCAATTGCATAAGCAGCTGGACTTGAAAAATTCCCATAAGCAGTGGAGCTCCCGGCCGGTAAAGGCTTATACTGGGAATTGGCATACTTCACTCCACCTGTGGGCAAATGTGAACTGTTTCCAGGCATCAGAACATAGCTATTTCCGGTTGAGGGGTGGGCATAAGCAGGATTGCTTGAGTAGCTTGGCAAGGCCATAGGAGGGACATACACAGGTGAAAGGATGTGGCGATATGGCATGAAATTCGGATAATGGGAGATATGAAGCTGTGGGTAAATTTGTGCCAATGTTTGCTGTTGTTGCTGCTGTTGAGTAATGCCAGTTGGGGTCAAAAGGTTGCTATTTGCTGAATGCAAGTTCAAAATCTGCAGCCAAAAAGAGCACAGAAAATGCATTAGAGACACCATAGCACATTAGTATCCAGTATTCAAAATATCAGCACCATATATAATGCCGGTCATATATAGACTTCAGATACATAATGCCAAGCATCTCCTTTAAAAGAAGAATATACCTATAATGCCGCGAAATATCAATAATATCAATAGAGCTTTCATGTTCTGCTCAATTGTAAATGAAAGTGATATAGTGGGTGCAAATTAAAAAGACATATATTTAAGGAGGATTTAGGCAGGACTTAGATTAAATCTTGCCAAATTGTTAAAATAGACAAAATAAATTCCCTGCAACTTTAAATCAAGTTTCGACCCTGTTTTGCCATAAATCCTGGATTTGTTAAATTCTGATATCCAGCAGATTTAAGAGATTTGGCAGAATGAAATGCATGTAAGGGAGAAAGGAAAAAAAAATACCCACAACATCTAGGCCTTTGCTTGCAAGTGCCTGCCATGAATTATCGCTTTGCCTGCAAACCCCGTCATGACTTTTCACTTATTTCTCCTCGAGAGTTTTGATTGGGAGTGAAAAGGGGAAAATGATGGGGTTTCAGATTATGGTACTAAGGGTTCCAGGTAAGAGGGGATTAAATTAATAAATATAAATTACTTAAAAAATATTAAATAACTATTATTTATGATATAACATGATTATATGAAAATTTTTATTTTTTATTAGTTTTAATATATATTAGATAATTATTTATGAAAATATTATTTCATAGAACTTATTTTTAATTTAGTTGAATCAAGTTGAAGTATTTCTAATTAATTTAATTGATTACAACTTAACAATTAATTAATATAATATTTTAAGTTTATTTTTATTTAGTTATTCAATTAAAAATAAATAGCTAATTAATGACAAACTAGTGAATATTAAAGCATTAATTATTATTTAATTAGGTTAGAGAAATAGTAATTAATGAAAAAATTAGCTTAGTAAATAAATATTTAATAAATGATTAATAAAGATTGAAGTACAGAATAATGATTAATTATTTTTAATCAAAATCTAATCAATAATTATTTAACTAATTAATGAGTAATGAAATTAGAAATAATAAAAAATGATTCAAAGCATACCAATATTAATAATTTAATCATCAATAATTAAAATTAAAAATTTATTTGTATAAATAAACTTAAATCCTAAAATAAGTAGCCAAACAAAAACCAGGATTCAATTGGATTCGATTTAACTTTTATCCAAATAATTTTTAGGATTTAACAGCCTCAAGATTTATTAAAACTAAACTTATAAAATTTACAATATCCTAATTATAGCCATATAGCCCCTAAGCAATCAGGTGAGATGGTTAACAATTATATCTTTGCAATGCTTTAAAATGTGCAGGCGTCATTAGTGTCACGGACTAACTTTCTTCAAGTTATCCGTGCGGCTTTAGCGCTCTCTCTTAGCACTAAATCAGCCTAACCTTCTCAACTAACAAATGAAAGCACTCTCTTGAAAGTAGAATAGGAAGAAGAGTCAGAAAAGGTAAACACTTCACTAATAAAGAGATATTACAAAGCTTGAAACCTTGAAACCTTGGATGGATTGGAATGAGGGAAGGGACTCTAATTTATAGCTTCCCCCATGTCTTTGGTCTTACACCTAGCCAATGTGGGACTATTTTCCATGGGAAGCTTTACAATATAATATTCTATATTCTAGATAGTTTTACATTGTTCTTATGTACATACATATTCTAGATTCTTCTAGGTTGTTTCTTTAGGCCTCCATCTTCCATCATGTCATAGTAACAGTGGGGCGTGACACTCTCCCCCACTTAAGCTCGCAATGCCCTCATTGTGCTTCTCCTCTTGATACAGTTTGATCTTCTCCTTGAATTGTCACAGTGTGTCTTCATGCTCCCAACTGGCCTCGCTATCCGGCCATCCTTTCCACTTGATGAGAAACTCTTTGTAGTTTGGTACCCCTCGCCGTCTGATCACCCTGTCGGCCATTATTTCTTGATTTTCTTTGTCGAAAGAGGAGATTACTACTGTAGGCGCTCGGTTGGAGATCCCTCTTGATAGGTCTTCTATGTCTTCCTTGTAAGGTTTCAACATGCTTGCATGAAAGACAGGATTTATCTTCAGTTTTGGTGGCAGGTTGAGCTTATAAGAGACCTTTCCCACTTGTTTCATCACTTCAAAAGAGCCTTCATATCTTCGAATCAAACCCTTATATACCTTCCGAAATGTTTTGAATTGTTGGGGTAGAAGTTTCACAAGGACTAGATCTCCTTCTTTGAACTCAATATGCCTCCGTTTTTTGTTTGCCCACTTCTTTATCTTCCTTGCGGCTTTGTGTAATGCTGCTCGAGCTATTTCTCTTTGCTCGCTCCAAGATTTGGCAAACTTGAAGGCTGGCGGACTTTTCCCTTCGTAATTGGTTGTAAGGGAGAGGGGAGTCATAGGTTGTTGTCCCATGATTATCTCGAAGGGACTCTTGTTAGTGGATTCATTTAGTTTAAGGTTGAAAGAAAATTGAGCCACATCCAGCAACTTGGCCCAATTTTGTTGATTGACACTCACATAGTGTCGTAGATATAGCTCTAAGAGGGCGTTGACCCTCTCAATTTGTCCATCACTCTGCGGATGAAAGCTTGTGGAAAAGTTTAGATCTGAACCCATCATTTTGAATAATTCGGTCCAAAATCTTCCGGTGAAGCGAGGATCTCGATCGCCCCCCATAGTGTTACCACGTTGCATAGAAAGAGTCTTGCAGCTTCCTCGGCAGTACAATCAGTGGGTGCAGCGATGAATGTTGCATACTTGCTAAATCTATCCACCACAACTAAGATGCTTCCAAATCCACCTGATTTGGGCAAGCTAGAGATGAAGTCCATAGAGACGCTCTCCCATGGTCTTTGAGGAATAGGTAGTGGTTCTAACAACCCCCTTGGTTGTTGAAGGACAGTTTTATCTTATTGGCATACAAGACAAGGCGAACATATTATTCTATCCCATTCTTCATCCCTGGTCAATAGTAATTTGTTTTTAGAAGTGCAAGAGTTCGTTTCATACCTGGGTGTCCCGCCCATAAGGAGTCATGACATTCTTTGATTAGCTTCTTTCTTAAGTTGCCCCATCTCAGTATGTAGATGCGTCCTCCTTTGGTGAAAAGGAGATCTTCATCCATCCAGAAATTCCTGGTCTTTCCTTCCTTCACTAAGGCAATAATACTTTGGTTTGTGGATCGGAGACCAAACCTTCTTTTATTTTGTCTATGAGGGAGCTAGAGACTTGTGACAGGCTTGCAAGTTCTGCTTACCGGCTTAGCGCATCTGCAACTACATTGGCCTTCTCTGGCTTATACTCCAAGACGTAGTCAAATTCTGCCAGAAAATCTTGTCATCTTGCTTGCTTGGGGCTTAGCTTCTTCTGAGTCTGGAAGTAGCTGGTGGCAATATTATATGTCATAACTTGGAATTTGAAGCTGAGCAAGTAGTGTCTCCATACTCTAAAGCAATGTATGATGGTTGTCATCTCCTTCTCTTGGACTGTATAGCGACGCTCTGTCTCATTAAGTTTTCTGCTTTCATAGGCAATTGGGTGCCTATCTTGCATGAGTACCCCTCCAATAGCAAAGTCTGAAGCATTGGTAAGATCTTCATATACCTTGGTACAATCTGGAAGGCTGAGTACGGGTTCTTCAGTGATTGCCTTTTTGAGGTCTTCAAATGCTTCATTACACTCACTATTCCATTCCCATGGCTTATTCTTCTTGAGTAAGTCCGTCAATGGAGTTGCTCTTGCGTAGTAGCCCTTTATGAATCGCTGATAGTAGTTAATAAGTCCCAAGAAGAATCTTAATTCGGGTACCTTGGTAGGATGTTCCCAAGAACATCACTTCTTGTTTGGCAAATGAACATTTTTCTTTCTTGATGTAAAGCTTGTTTTCTCTAAGAACTTTGAATACGTCTCGAAGATGTTTTAGATGATCTTGGAGAGTGTTGTTATACACCACTATATCATCCAAGTAGACAACAACAAACTGGTCCAAGTATGGTTGGAACAGTTTCTTCATCAAAATGCAAAATATAGCAAGAGCATTGGTTAGTCTGAAAGGCATCACCAAAAATTCGAATGATCCGTACCTGGTCACACAAGTGGTCTTGGGTTCATCCCCTTCTGTTATCCTCACTTGGTAGTAGCCTAATCGGAGATCCAATTTTGAGAAGTATCTTGCACTCCCAAGTTGATCAAAAAAATCGGCAATGAGGGGGATTGGATATTTGTTTTTCACGGTAATTTTGTTCAAAGCCCGATAATCTATGCACATACGTAAGGAACCATCCTTCTTTTGAAATAGAACCGGAGCACCAAAGGGGCTTTTCGATAGTCGGATAAATCCTGCCTCCAATAACTCTCTCAATTGAGTGCGTAGTTCTGCCAGTTCCGGAGGTGCCATGCGGTAAGCTCCCATTGCTGGTGGCTTAGTCTTTGGCTCCAGCTCGATTTGGTGAACGACCTCCCTTCTTGGCGGTAGTTCCTTCGATAATTCTGGTGGCGCCACATCTTTAAACTCTTCAAGTACTTCCACTACTTCCCTTGGTGTGGCTTCTTCAGGCTTCAATTCTTTGTTGGAGTCATGAAGGATGGCCAAGTAGCTCTCCTCCTCTTATTGAATGGCTGATAGCATCTTGGTCTCCTGTTGCCTAGCTCTTGTTGTCGGTACAAGGCAAGCCTGGTCGCCTCCCATGATACACATGCTATTGGCAAATGGTATCGGGAACGCCCTTACTTGGTCCAAGAACTCTATACCAAGGATTACTTTGAAATCATCCATGGGAATGATGGAGAAATTTAGTGTACCTGACCAATCCCCTACACAGGTCTTCACTCCTTTAGCCACTCCATGGATTGGCCTAGCTGCAGAGTTAACTGCTTTGATGGAGCCCCCACCTCCAGTTGTCTGCAGACCCATCCTCCTTGCTTCTTTGATAGAGATGAGTTGT